GTATTTAATACAGAACTTTAATAATCCAGATTCTTTTATCCTAAATTCGTCCTATTTTGGTTACTCCCTATAAAATATGCTGGAAATGCTACTTATGAAGGGATATAAGTCAGTACATTATAATGGAGAATCGGAAAATATTGGAAACTTGGTATCTAGAACAATTTACTGGAATTAAATAATTAATTATTTCGTTTCCTGTATATAACACTGGAGTTATAGTTTATTAAAACATGATATCCTGTATATAATACGGGACTTGAATAATCCAGATTCTTTTATCCTAAATTCGTCCAATTTTGGTTACTCCCTATAAAATATGCTGGAAATTCTACTTATGAAGGGATATAAGCATGTACATTATAATGGAGAATCGGAAAATATTGGAAACTTGGTATCTTGAACAATTTACTGGAATTAAATAATTAAATATTTTATTTCCTGTATATTACACTGGAGTTATAGTTTATTAAAACATGATATCCTGTATTTCATACTGGACTTGAATAATCCAGATTCTTTTATCCTAAATTCGTCCAATTTTGGTTATTCCCTATAAAATATGCTGGAAATGCTACTTATGAAGGGATATAAGCCAGTACATTATAATGGAGAATCCAAAAATATTGAAAACTTGGTATCTAGAACAATTTACTGGAATTAAATAATTAATTATTTTGTTTCCCGTATATAACACTATAGTTATAGTTTATTAAAACATGATATCCTGTATTTCATACTAGACTTGAATAATCCAGATACTTTTATCCAAAATTCGTTAAATTTTGGTTACTCCGTATAAAATATGCTGGAAATGCTACTTATGAAGGAATATAAGCCAGTATATTATGATGGAGAATCGGAAAATACTGAAAACTTGATATCTAGAACAATTTACTGGAATTAAATAATTAAATATTTTGTTTCCTGTATATTACACAGGTATTATAGTTTATTAAAACATGATAGCCTATATTTCATACTGGATTTGAATAATCCAGATTCTTTTATATTAAATTCGTCCAATTTTGGTTACACCCTATAAAATATGCTGGAAATGCCATTTATGAAGGCATATAAGCCAGTATATTATAATGGAGAAGTCGAAAATAGTTAAAACTTGGTATCTAGTACAATTAACTGTAATTAAATAATTAAATATTTTGCTTCCTGTATATTATACTGGAGTTATACGTTATTAAAACATGATATCCTGTAATTTATACTGGACTTGAATAATCCAGATTATTTAATCCTATATTCGTCCAATTTTAGTTACACCCTATAAAATATGCTAGAAATGCTACATATGAAGGCATATAAGCTAGTATATTATAATGCAGAAGTGGAAGATTGTGGAAACTTGGTATCTAGTACAATTTACTGGAATTAAATAATTAATTATTTTGTTTCCTGTATATTACACTGGAGTTATATGTTATTAAATCATGATATCCTGTATTTAATAGTGATTTTGAATAATCCAGATTTTTTTATCCTTAATTCGTCCAATTTTGATTACTCCCTATAAAATGAAGGAAATGCTACTTATGAAGGCATATAAGCTAGTACATTATAATGGACAATCGGAAAATATTAAAAACTTGGTATCTAGAATAATTTACTGGAATTAAATAATTAATTATTTCGTTTCCTGTATATAACACTGAAGTTATAGTTTATTAAAACATGATATCTTGTATTTAATACGGAACTTTAATAACCCAGATTCTTTTATTCTAAATTCGTCCTATTTTGGTTACTCCCTATAAAATATGCTAGAAATGCTATTTATGAAGGGATATAAGCCAGTACATTATAATGGAGAATCGGAAAATATTGGAAACTTGGTATCTTGAACAATTTACTGGAATTAAATAATTAAGTATTTTATTTCCTGTATATTACACTGGAGTTATAGTTTATTAAAACATGATATCCTGTATTTCATACTGGACTTGAATAATCCAGATTCTTTTATCCTAAATTCGTCCAATTTTGGTTACTCCCTATAAAATATGCTGGAAATGCTACTTATGAAGGGATATAAGCCAGTACATTATAATGGAGAATCGAAAAATACTGAAAACTTGGTATCTAGAACAATTTACTGGAATTGAATAATTAATTATTTCGTTTCCTCTATATAACACTGGACATATAGTTTATTAAAACATGATATCATGTATTTCATATTGGACTTGAATAATCCAGATACTTTTATCCTAAATTCGTTAAATTTTGGTTACTCCGTATAAAATATGCTGGAAATACTACTTATGAAGGAATATAAGCCAGTATATTATGATGGAGAATCGGAAAATACTGAAAACTTGATATCTAGAACAATTTACTGGAATTAAATAATTAAATATTTTGTTTCCTGTATATTACACAGGTATTATAGTTTATTAAAACATGATAGCCTATATTTCATACTGGATTTGAATAATCCAGATTCTTTTATATTAAATTCGTCCAATTTTGGTTACACCCTATAAAATATGCTGGAAATGCCATTTATGAAGGCATATAAGCCAGTATATTATAATGGAGAAGTCGAAAATAGTTAAAACTTGGTATCTAGTACAATTAACTGTAATTAAATAATTAAATATTTTTCTTCCTGTATATTATACTGGAGTTATACTTTATTAAAACATGATATCCTGTAATTTATACTGGACTTGAATAATCCAGATTTTTTAATCCTATATTCGTCCAATTTTAGTTATACCCTATAAAATATGCTAGAAATGCTACATATGAAGGCATATAAGCTAGTATATTATAATGCAGAAGTGGAAGATTGTGGAAACTTAGTATCTAGTACAATTTACTGGAATTAAATAATTAATTATTTTGTTTCCTGTATATTACACTGGAGTTATATGTTATTAAATCATGATATCCTGTATTTAATAATGGATTTTGAATAATCCAGATTCTTTTATCCTTAATTCGTCCAATTTTGATTACTCCCTATAAAATGCTGGAAATGCTATTTATGAAGGCATATAAGCCAGTACATTATAATGGACAATCGAAAAATATTAAAAACTTGGTATCTTGAATAATTTACTGGAATTAAATAATTAATTATTTTGTTTCCTGTATATAACACTGAAGTTATAGTTTATTAAAACATGATATCTTGTATTTAATACGGAACTTTAATAATCCAGATTCTTTTACCCTAAATTCGTCCAATTTTGATTACTCCCTATAAAATATGCTGGAAATGCTACTTATAAAGGGATATAAGCCAGTACATTATAATGGAGAATCGAAAAATATTGGAAACTTGGTATCTAGAACAATTTACTGGAATTAAATAATTAATTATTTCGTTTCCTGTATATAATAGTGGAGTTATAGTTTATTAATACATGATATCCTACATTTAATATAGGACTTGAATAATCCAGATTCTTTTATCCTAAATTCGTCCAATTTTGGTTACTCCCTATAAAATATGCTGGAAATGCTACTTATGAAGGGATATACGCCAATACATTATAATGGAGAATCGGAAAATATTGGAAACTTGGTATCTAGAACAATTTACTGGAATTAAATAATTAATTATTTCGTTTCCTATATATAACACTATAGTTATAGTTTATTAAAACATGATATCTTGTATTTCATACTAGACTTGAATAATCTAGATTCTTTTATCCTAAATTCGTCCAATTTTGGTTACTCCCTATAAAATATGCTGGAAATGCTATTTATGAAGGGATATAAGCGAGCATATTATAATGGAGAATCGGAAAATATTGGTAATTTTGTGTCTAGAACAATTTACTGGAATTAAATAATTAATTATTTCGTTTCCTGTATATAACACTATAGTTATAGTTTATTAAAACATGATATCCTGTATTTCATACTAGACTTGAATAATCCAGATTCTTTTATCCTAAATTCGTCCAATTTTGGTTACTCCCTATAAAATATGCTGGAAATGCTATTTATGAAGGGATATAAGCGAGCATATTATAATGGAGAATCGGAAAATATTGGTAATTTTGTGTCTAGAACAATTTACTGGAATTAAATAATTAATTATTTCGTTTCCTGTATATAACACTATAGTTATAGTTTATTAAAACATGATATCCTGTATTTCATACTAGACTTGAATAATCCAGATTCTTTTATCCTAAATTCGTCCAATTTTGGTTACTCCCTATAAAATATGCTAGAAATGCTACTTATGAAGGGATATAAGCCAGTACATTATAATGGAGAATCGGAAAATATTGGTAGTTTGGTGTCTAGAACAATTTACTGGAATTAAATAATTAATTATTTTGTTTCCTGTATATTACACTGGAGTTATATGTTGTTTAAACATTATATCCTGTATTTAAAACTGGATTTGAATAATCCAGATTTTTTTATCCTAAATTCGTCCATTTTTGGTTACTCCCTATAAAATATGTTGGAAATGCTAATTATAAAGGAATATAAGCAGTATATTATAGTGGAGAACTGGAACATAGTGGAAACTTGGTATCTAGTACAATTTAGTGGAATTAAATAATTTAATCTTTTAATTACTGTATATGACACTGCAGTTATATATTTTTAAACTACTATGTCCCGTATTTAATACTGGACTTGAAAAATTCAAAAATTTTTATGCTAAATTTGACCAATTTTGGTTAGTCTATATAAAATATTCTGGAAATTCTACTTATGAAGGGATATAAGTCAGTATATTATAATAGAGAAGTGTAAAATAATGCAAATTTGGTAATTAGAATAATTTACTGGAATTAAATAATTTAAAATTATGTTTCTGTATAGTTTGCTGGAGGTATATGTTCCGAAATTATATGTCCAGTAATTTATACGGGAACTTCATAAACAAGATTTTTTTTTGCAGCAAATCAAGAAACAAAAAAAACAGTAATAATATTTTGAAAAACAAGAATACCAAACAAATTATTCGGAATTACAATCACTTTTTCATATCAGACAATGGAACCTTATTGTATATAATCAATCATTTTTTTTCCTGTATTTCTTGCATAAGGATGAACTACAGCAGAATTTGTGCAATTTGTTCTGTTATGCCCATATTGTTTGCAGCAACCACATCTTGGTTCCTTCTTGAATTCTGTACCGGAAACATGTCGATTCTTCTGTCTTCTTCCTAGCATTACTTTTGCATCTGGAGGCTTAGTGATTTCTGATTTAATAGTTTCTGGTATAACCCATGTCGATGAATCACCTATAGAATTTACTTGCCCTTCATATGTTTTCAACCAAAAGTCCCTTGAATAATAGGCTGAGCAAAAGGCCGATTTCTTTTGATATATACTATCAATTGCAGCAATTGCATGTTCACAAAGTATTTCATCCAGCTGAAATTGACAACAATCACATGTTCTTTTGTCTAGATCAACAATAAATTCCATACCCCCTTCTTTCACATTGAATTTGAGTCGATCAATGGGCAATACTCTAAATGTAAAAGTTGGTTTAATTTTTTCTTCCAATGTTGCTTCTGCCCAAGTTGATATCTCACGGAATATTCCTTCTGCAATTGTCCTTCTTTCATAGAACCAGCTTTGCAACTTTTCTTGTATGAAATCCATCATTGTTAAAAGTGGCAATTCTCTTGCACGTCTCAATACATTATTCATTGACTCAACAATATTTGTTGTTAACATATCATATCGTCTTCTCGGACAATGTGAACGAGCCCACCTTCCTGGTGGTTCCTCCATCAAATAATTAAATGTTTTCTTATCAACAACAGCTATTTGGGACATGAAGTCATCAAATTCTCATTGAAGGTATACTCTTGCAGCACTTTGAAAAAGGTTTAGTACAATATTTCTCACTCTTCTTTGCTTTAGATTCTTTTCTAAATGATATACGCAAATACCATGGTAGCACTCAGGGAAAACTTTTGCAATACCATTTGCAATGGGCTTGTGTAGATCTGACAAAAACACTAAATCCTTACGAATCCCAATTGCTTTTCTTAATTCTCTGAAATACCATTCATATGATTCGTTATTCTCTGAATCCGCTACCCCAAATGCTATAGGAAAAATCTGGTTATTTGCATCTTTTGTAACAGCCACTAACAGAACACCTCTATATTTATTTTTTAGAAATGTTCCATCAACTGCAATAAGTGGTCTACAATACTTCCACCCAGAAATTGATGCCCCATACATGAAAAACATGTAGACAAACCTGTTCAATTGAAAAGTAAATAACTTTCAGTTATACCATATGAGAAGTTGAATACTAATAACATACTACACAAAAAGCTTAAAGACGACAAACTTCCATTAAAATATACTGAAATCAAACACAACTCAAATATTATATACTGGATTAAAGATCATAATTAAAAAGAAGACGAATAATCACTCAAAAAAGTAATGAAAAATAAAACAAACTTCTAGGTTAAACAGAACTCATCCAGTATAATATACTGGACAGAAAACTTAAACAAGGCAGACATCCCGCAAAATATATTGGAGTACATCCCATAAAAGCTTACACAAGGCAGATATCTCGTACAATATACTGGAGAGAAATCTTACACAAGGCAAACATCCCGTAAAATATCCCGTATAACATACTGGA